CTAAACAAGGCACCTGAAATCAAAAAAAGCGACGGGGGCTTTGTTGGGTCGGTATGATTTAAACGGGGGAATTGAGTCAAGGGGTACGAAAGATAGCACGGGGTTGGGAAGTGGTTCGTCACATAGGTGACGCGCAGGGGGTTCCAAAACTATGCGATTTCCTGATTGCATGAAAAACCTTGAACAAAAGAAGTGGGAGGAGACGAAGAAGCAGGAAGAAGTAGGAGGCTTAGATCAACACAATATATGTCAGCAGAGAAAACTGAGCCGGGGTATGAGTTGACGACAACATCCGTGGCAAGATCTTCGTGATGCATGCCGGCTCATGCTGTCTCGGATCCCCATCCTCTTCAGTCCTGTCATATGCAACCCCCTGCCCTTCAAACTTCGGAGATCATCCAGGTGGCACCATCATGGTCCATCAGGTCTCCGTGTGTTCTGCACTCCCGTCTAGCGCAATTCATCGAATCAGAGCATGTGTTGACGTCATCGTCAATGGCGTGATCTTCGCGAAACTGCTGATTTGTGTTGCTCAGGGGACACGTGTCGATTTCTCCAGTCGATCGCCACGCTAAGGACGGTCATTGACAAGAAGAGGGTGGGATGCGCCGCCGTCGTGACACTTGGCAGGTATCAGCGCCGTGTGGGAATGGGAAAGTCGACATTATACATGGAGGAGTATCGACGGGGAGGGTTGGAGGGAAGTGGGGGTAAGTAGCGGTTTATCCCTTCCTCTTTGATTGGAAGCTCCTCGTAGCGGATGATCCGGTGAAAGCAGGGAAATCGGTCGCCGCTGTGAGGGAGGGAGGCGAGGTAGTCAGGGTAGAGGGTGGAGAAAGTGCGGAAGAGTGCCGCGCGAAACAGCTCGTGATGGCGACATGCGGGGATGGTTCCTGTGATTACGCAGTAGACTTCTACTGTGTTGCTCTGCTCCCACGCGGCACTAAACAAAAAGATGTGCAAACATAACATGGGGGTTGCACATTGAAGGGAAGGATGGGGATGGACAGTGACAGCGAGGCGGGTGGAGTAAAAGTGACGGAAGGTATTGGGGGGGAAGAGGTTGCGAGTGAAGGTGACGAAGGTAGAGATCTGACAGAGGGTGAGGTAATCAAGGGGACGGCGGGATAATGACCGGGGACGAAGGCCGATCCCCCGCATCGGTACGTGGACGAACTGGGGGACGGGCTGAGGTGGAGGGGGAGGGGGATCGGCTCCGTCTCCGTTGTGATGCGCTCGGAGTCGCGGTTGCTGGGTCGCCATCTTCGGGCTTGGGGGGCTCTGGATCCCTGGTCGGGTCGTCATTGATGCACAGGTTCGCGTCGCTGGCAAACTCCAGCTGGCTTTTCCCGACGACGATCTCTTCCCTCTTACGTGCCGCCTCGGGATCTTCCGCCTCTGTGCCTGTGCGCGCCGCTTCTTCCGGCAAGGCTTCCCACTCCGATCCGGCTTCCTCCTCTTCCTCTTCTTCTTCTTCGTCTTCTTCCTCTACACTCTGTTCCCCTTCGCTGTGCTCATTATAACTCCCTTCCTCCGACGTTTCTTCTTCGGCGTCGTCCTCTTCTTTCGTGGCTTCTTCTTCTCCTGCCTCCTCAGACGTATCTTGCTTCGGATAGAAGGCGAGATTGATGATTCCGGACGGCTTCAAGTACTCCTGCCGCGATGGCAGGGCGCTTTCACTCCCCGGTTCCTCCAAGCACGCAGTCCACTGAAGATACGGTGCCAATGTCCGCGTAAGGACGTGCGGAGTCGGGCTCTCGTCACTTTGCGAAACAATATCGAGAGAGAGGTCGTCGACCAATTGCACGAGCAGGACGACGAGTTCCTGGACAATTAGCTGGCGATGGCCTGGTCGCACTGATCCGAAAAGAAAACCGGGAAGATCGCCCTCTACGTCAGTTCTCCAAGCCTGGATAATCAACAGCTCCAGGTACTCGATACACGCCTGATGCTCGTCAGTCCTCGTCCACGTCACCTCCACTCAGACCAAGCACACAGACAGATCGACAAAAGTTTCGCGCCACACCCGCCAATGCCTGGGATCGAAGACCGGGACTGCAAGGGGCTCGAGCAAGAAGGAAAGGCGAGGATGAAGATCGGATTGCCAGAAGGTGGGGAAAAGAGAGGGAAGACCAAAGGTGGAGAGAGGAGCGAGAGGAGCGGCGCGGTTCATTGGGGGCGTTGGAAGGGGACGAGTGTGGGGAGCATCACTGCCGGCTGGCGCGTAGAGGTGCGGATCTCGCCGAAGTCAACCCCGTACGTTGGGACGAGGTTGCACCCGGGGCGCGCAAGACCGTGATGCCACTCGGTTGATAACTACTGCGTCCACTCCCGTAATGTGGTCACGATCGTGGTATGCCGAAGCGGGCTAACCACGCTGATATCGCCGCTGAAAGCAGGGACTGTGGTGACGTGGCTCGTTCCTGGAGCCGCCCGCCGATGAAAGGCCACCACCTCTGCCAATACTACTACCTGCGGACTTCCGGCGAATCGGAACGCAGCGGCGGCATACACACCCTCGGTGCAGAAGAACTGCACCAATCGTCGAAGATCAGGACTGAGCCTCGGATGACGAACTTGCCGGATCTCCGAGATGTAGCCACGTGGCTGCAGCAGATGATTGCCAAGAGCTTGCTCCGTGATGAAACTCATGGCGAGGACGGGGAAGAAGATGAGAGATGGGATCAAGAGGGAGAGAACAAGGCGGGAGCTAGATCGTCATCATCCTCGTGTTCAGTAGATGAGGGAGACGGAGGGAGATCAGAAGGAGGGAGGGGACGAATGTAAGAGGTATGGCGGACGATGGGGACAAAGTTATGGTTGGCGCTTGCCTCGGGCGCAATGCGCACCGTGTTGGCATCGTTGAGTCCGAGCTCGACAACGCGGAAACAGCCAGAGAACTTGGGAGCGAGTTTCCGGTCGCGTGCACATTTACGTACCTGCACCAGGTCCCCCAATTTATATTGATGTTGGGGACCGGCGTTCCCATTTCGGGCCTCGTAGCGACGGACTTGCCTCCCGTGGGCTAGATCAGTCACTTTCTGTCTCTTTCGGGCTAGCTTCGGGACGGCTCTTTCCATTAAATCGGCATACCTTTTGGCCTTGGCCTTGAGGGCGATACGAGTGTCTCTACCCCCTGCTTCGGCAATTTTCGAGTTGCCTCGGTAATCGACACATGGGAGGCTATTGGTGCAAAGCTGAAAGGCGGTGAACCCTGTAGATTCGTGAGGGGTGGCCCGGTGAATTCCGATGATTTGGTATACGATCTCGGGCCACGGACGTGTGTCCTGCGCTGCTAGATTTTTACGAAGGGCAGTCTTAATCATGCGATTGGCATTTTCGGCCAACCCTTTCGACTGGGAAACGTGGGGTGCCGTGTGTCGAAGCATAATGCCTCGGCGCGCTAGCAATTCCTCTACCTCGCCTTTGAATTCGGACCCGTTGTCGGTTAGAATCTCTTCTGTATCTAGGTGGGTATAGAGGAACCGATCGATGTACGTGGCGATCTCAGCGGCCTTACGGGTCTTGCAGGGGTAGACCTCGATGTATTTGGAAAAATGGTCCATTAAAACTAAAAGGATGGAATATTCGCAACGGTTTGGGCCAGGTGGCACGTCGATATCTGTCGTGTCCATACTGACTCACTGGAAAGGGCGCTCTACTTCCATCGGTACTATCGTGTTTGGTCCCCGTATTGGGGCACGATCGGCGGCACAGACCAGACAGTTGGCAACTTCGTATCTGACATCGTCCCGTATATTAGACCATAACCATCGATTCTGATCTATAGTTGCTTCAGTGACACGTATCGTGAAGTGAGCGGCCTGCTCTTCGTGAGCAGATCGGGTCCAATCATATCTCTGGAATGGATGGGGAAACGTCAACCACAAACCTGATCCGTCAGTTTTACGCTTTTCCAGGTGACCGTTGATCCATCGGTAATCCCGAGATCTCTCGGTAGCCCAACGTCTGTCATGCTTAGTGAGATGATCCAATGGTAAACCAGTCAATTTAGCTAATAGAATTTTATCCGTCCAGACTTCCGCTCGTCGGTATTCCTCGTCATATTCAGGTCCGTCCGTTTGGGGAGCCTCGAATCAAACCTCGGTAAGGAGTTTGTCCATTCTACACAAAGGGCACTTCCATTCCCTACTATTCGTTCGGTATTGAACGCATGCACCATGTGCACGATTGACACACGTGGCACAGTCCACCCAATCAACGAATCCGGTCTCAAAAGGATGACAGTCCACCCCATAAACCCGTGTAATACACCGTGTAATACACGTACAAAAATAGCAGAATTTATCGCGAAGGGTGGCGAAGAAGGCCGAGGAGGCGAGAGGGGTAGAATCAGCAGGGGAAGAAGGGGTCGCAGAGACAGGTGGGGTAGCCATGATGAGAGGGGAGGAGAGAAAGAGAGAGAGAGAGAGGGTTGCAGAAAGGGTAGAGCAAAAGCCCCGTGTCACTCACTCCTTCGACATAATTTTTACTTGCCCGTACCGTGGTCCGTTCTCATCCTTCGGCTCGTTCCAAGGAATCACTTCCTCGCTTTTGGGGACCTTCTCGGGTCGGTGCAGTCGTGTCAACCCGTCAGCATTCCCGTGCCTCTCGTGCTTCCGATGACGAATGTCAATGTCCATGCTCTGTAGCATCGTTGCCCATCTCCCGATCATGCCCGAGTAATCCTTAGATTTCTTCAGGGCTAATAATGGCTCATGATCGGTGACCGGCGTGAACTTCCGCCCATACAGATAGGCTCGAAAGTGATTGATCCCCCACAGAGCCGCAAATCATTCTCTTGTCGGGGTGGCGTAATTGCGCTTGCAGGCAGGCACCGACTTAGATGCGTAATCCACCACACATTCGAATCCGCCGGGTCCCACCTGGGCCAAGATCGCTGAGATTGCCTCCAGCTGCCAGTCCGTGATGAGGACAAAAGGCTTTTCAGGATCCGGCCTTATAAGGACCGGAGCCGAAATAAGAGTTGCCTTGAGTTTCGAAAACGCTTGATCACACTCTGGCGTCCAAATCAACGGTTGATCTTTTTTTAGCAAATTCGTGAGGGGACCAGCAATAGCCGTGAAGCCCTTGATAAACCTTCGATAGTACGAGGCCAGGCCCAGAAAGGCGCGAACTTGCATGATAGTCGTGGGCACAGGCGCGTCTCTCACAACTGCCACCTTTTGCGGTTCCGGTCTGAGTCCCTGGTCTGTCACCACGTGTCCCAGGAAGGAAATGGTGGTGAGAAAGAACTGGCATTTCTCCAGCGCCACCTTGAAACCGGCATCCCTCAATGCATCCAGCGTCCATTCAATGTGTTGCACATGCCCCTCGTAAGAACTCGAATACACCAGAATATCATCCATGTACACAATCACGCAGTAGTTGATGATACTATGCACCAGACGTATCTTCCACACAAAGTTCTGAAAAGCCATGTTCATGGCTCGTTGAAAGGTTGCGGGAGCATTGCAGATGCCCATTGGACATCGAATCCATTGCCAAGTACCTTCGAACAACACAAACGCCGTTTTCGAACGATCCTCCTCTCGAACAAAAAGATCATGAAACCCATGTCGAACATCAAACTTACTGAAAAATCGAGCACTCCCAATCGCATCCAACAGCTCATCAATCCGGGGCAGGGGGTACACATCTTTGATCGTGATATCATTCAGCTTTCGATAATCGATACATATGCGAATCCCTCAGGCCTTTTTGGGAACGATTACCACAGGAAACGACCAAGGTCCTATAGCGGGTTCGATCCATCCATTAGCTTCAAATTCCTTGATTCGCTGAAACGCGGCCGCCCTTTGGGCTGGCGAGTATCGGTAAGGAACGCAGCTGATGGGTAGATGATCCCCTGTAAGGATGACATGCCCAATCACGTTAGACAACCCAATATCGTTATCACGCACACTTAATACCTCTACGTACCCATTCAAGACGTTAATCAGTGATTTTCGAAATTTCAGGGGGACGTGATCCGGTAGAGTGACAGTCGGTCGATCGGGTATCTCAAGGGGCATGTGGATCCAATCACCAGGCCTATTCCTTCGGTCATGGACGCTAGAGAAAATAGAGTTGTTGCGGACAGAAAATACAGTCGCGATCATCTGGGATTCAGCGGGGCTAATCATCTCGGTCTCTTTAACTTCGGCGTCAGTTTCCGAATCTGTCGTGGTTTCTTCCACAGTTAGTCCTGTTAAATCCACCATTTTCTGCATCAGATCGGGCACATCGTTGACGGGAGCTTCGGCTTCTTGATTTATCAGAGCGATGTTCCTGTTGTAAGCAGCGACCTTGGAGGGGAAACAAAAACATCCAGGTATTGTTTCACCTGTTGATAGCGTGCTCGAAGGGAAAGTGTTCCCTCGTACAAAGTGCGAGGGGGTTCCAAATCGTCTGTCAGGTCAGATATTTGGAAGATGGGTTCTCCGAGAAAGGTCGAGGGACTGACCTGGGTTTCCATAGGCGCGAGCGCGTTGTCTCCCAGACTCAAGTGGAAAGTTCGTGTGGTTCTGGAAACCATTCAAAGTTCCTCTTGAGTTTCGTGCTCGAAAAGTTCGACCAAGTGTTTTCATTCACTCTCACTAGGCATCTCTTCTTCGCACTCCTGTTCTTCGAATCCGCTACTATTATCCGGGGATGAAAATTCGTCCTGATCGGGACCTTGAATCATCCCTATCCGAGCAGAATTAGGATTCCTTTTTACTGTTCGGGTTGAAATCTGCAACGGAACTGTCTGAGGTTTTCCTCCTGTTTGCGTAAGCACCAACTGTTTGGAATCGAAATGCATGCGGGCACTTACCGCCATTGCCCAAGGCAGTCCCAACAACACCGAATATGAGTGCACATCTATGACCAAGGCGTTAACGAGGACGTGTACTCGTCCAACTTTAACGGCCACATTCTCAATGATTCCTACGATATTCATTGCTTCTTCGTCGGCAGAGAGGTAATTGTCCTTGCCAGATTGAGGGAGAATCGAGTTTAGTCGCCCCGTTCTTTTCACCGTTTCTAATGATATAGCGACCGCAGAGGAGCCGGTATCGATGAGGGTGTTAGAAGGTTTGCCCCATACTTCGCAATCACATTCAGCGCTTTTCCACAACATTGGTCGAGCTCGCACGAAATGATTTTTCTCAGCTAAAGAAATTGTAGCTACTCGCGCTGCTTCGGGTTCAGTCGGTGCAACACCCTCCGCTCCTTCTTCCTTCTTCTTTTTCAACATTCGTTGTATGCGCTGGTATGTAAAGCGCTTTTGATTCATCTGACATTGTTGCAGCAACTTGTCATTTGCTGCTTCGGATATGGTGAGCAAATGTCCCACTGGGACCGGAATGCGAATGTCCAGTTGCTTAAGTGTTCGTAGTACATCAATTTCTCCCGTCCGAAACTGTGGTCCAGGGTTAGATTCTCGTTCGACCCATTCAAGATCGTCATGGGCTGGTCGGATTGCTCCGATCATGCCGGCGAGATGAAGGTATTCGACCGGATCAACCACGTCAACAGCTTCGGAAGAAGAAGCTCCTGAGGTCGATGCAACTGCCATTGAGGGGGAAGGTCGCTCAGGGGCATACGCAATGATCTCCTCGTTTCGGGCCGTATCCATGAGTGCGGCCACTCGTCCTTGATTCAGAGCTACGGGGGTTGCGGCAAGTGGGGGCTGATTTCGTTTTGGCTGCGGACAGTCCCGGGCAAAATGGCAAAATGCCCGGGCTGTTTGCAATTGTAACACTCGATTTTCCCTACCAGGTTAGCTATATGAGGGAACTGCGGTGCATGTCCAGGTGCAGGCGGAGCAGGCAAAAGCGGGAACGATGCAGGGGCATGTCGAGCAAGAGCCGAGTGGGGCTTAATTAGTCTGCTCATTATCTGTTTCATTCGATCCATATGAGCCGCCTGCATTTGGACCAGATTGCTCATCCATTCAGATTTTTTGTAGTAGTTGTATGAATCATCTATGCCAAGTGCATGTTTTGTTATGGTCATAGAGGCATGATCTTGGGAGCTTCTGGGTTTAACAGTTGCTACCTGTTGGTTCATTGAGAGAGTCGGAGGAGGAGGAGAAGGAACTGACGGGATATCAGAGGCGGCCCCTTCGGGAAGGTCATGATCAGGCCGGGGATAGAATCGTTTTACCGCTCGCAACCATGATCGTCGTTTCGCCGCTATATCTTGAATCGTGTCTGTAATGTCTTCGTCTCCCTGACTGATATACTTCTTTATATCCGTCAGGTCTAATTCAAAAGTTTTGGTGATGATAGCGGATAGGTGGTTCATTTTAGGGGGGACCTTTTTTTGCAGCTTAGCTTTTAGCGCCGGACTTCGTAGATGATCGATGAACAAATCTCGGACGGACTTTTCATCTCAACCTGATTTGTCCAACGTAGTTTGAAATCGATCCACGAAGTCAGGCAGCAATTCCCCTGGTTCTTGCGGTCGAGTTTTGGGTACATACCAAGCAGCGTCTTCGCTGACCGTATCAAATCTGGCCAAGAACGCTTGCTTGAAGATGTTCCAATTTACCCACATGTGTTTCCTAAACAATTCATGCACCGTGTTGCGAAGCAGCAAGGTGATGACGTGGGGGAGATCTTCCGCGCTATATTCTTGAGCTTGGACGGCTTCCAACCAAGCTTCGGGGTGGATGTGATTAGGAAAGAAAGAAAAAGCGGCGGGAATACTAACAATCACCCTGGGGGGAGCTGCGTTGTCGTCGGCCATTGGCATAGTCGGTCTAGCCTCACCAGATCTGGATCTGGTCACTGGGCGATCTCGACGAGCAGGTTGAGGACTTCTTCTACCTCTCGCCAGCCAAATGGATCGGATTGGTCCAGTACCTGATGGCCCAAGCATAGCACTCCCAACTATCCCAGACCAATCCGATCCCCATACATCCTGGTCTGGGACAATACTGGCTATGGCCAATACTGGCTGCAGACAGTCCAAGAGGATTGTCGAACTTCCCACCGTGTTGTGGATCTTCGTTTAGAGCGGAAGGACTTCGGTACACTCCGCGTGTCCCGTTTCCGTATCAAGTCCCGACGTCGCTCGTTGGTCAGTTCCGAGTCCGACGTGGAGGGTCTCAGTCGCGTGGCTCTTTCCTTGTGCTCGTCTTCACTCCGTATTCGGTATTGAAAGCCCTTTGATTCGTAGCGATCGAAACGCTGACGCTCTGTGCACAGGGTTCGAGGCCAATGGGGCGCCACTGCTGTCCACGGAATGACGATCAGCTCGTTAAATGACAATAGTACTGAGTAAGGCGGGTAGTGCGTATCGACAATGACAAAGCCCTCGTCTATGAATCCAGAACAACAATTTTCGGGAGGGAAGTAATATCGTCCACCGATATGTGCGACAACTTCTCGTACGTCCTACTCACAAACACGTGTCCTTTCCTCGTTGTATTAGTAAGGGAAGGGGCACGTTGGCGAGGGAGATACGGGAGGTTGGCGCCCGATCGAGGTACGCCCGTCAGTCCACATGTCAATCAATCTGAAATAGTTTGCAGAAACCTTGGGACGTCATCAAAAAGTACAATCGTAAAAACCAACTAACATTTTCTCCCTTTCGACACGAGGGAAGCATCGTACAACCATGCAATAATCGGGGTGGAGTTTCGAGGGATCAACCCGCGACTCAGGTTCAACAGACCAGATCGAAAAAAATCCGAGGCGCCTGGCTTTTTCGAGGCTGCCCCATAGACTGTCGGCAGATGTCGTGCAGTAAGGCAGAGGGCATGCGCAGTGTATTCAGAACGACAGATCTAAACACTCTTGCATTCTCGGACAAAATCCCGTCGAGTTNGCAGATGTCGTGCAGTAAGGCAGAGGGCATGCGCAGTGTATTCAGAACGACAGATCTAAACACTCTTGCATTCTCGGACAAAATCCCGTCGAGTTCTGGGTTTAATCAACACAACAAACTCACATACAAGCATTCCTATGCATACATCCACTGTGGAAGGTGCGAAAATGACAATGGTGCATCAAAAACAAATCAGGGGATAGTGCACACGCATCCACCATTCACAAGACAAGAGGATTGAGATCCCTTACATCCGGGGATTACCAAGGAAACTAATGGAAGAGTTCCGGAAGAAGTTCTTCTGCGTGGGAAATCACAAGGATTCACTTTTGTTCATAGGAGAGACAAACTCATGACACATCGCCATTCAAATCATAGAGAGAGAGATGAGAGAGATAGACAAGACATGTCGAGACAGGAGACACCGGAATCCAACAAGGGAACATTCGGCTTCACAGCTATGAACTCACACCAAAAAAATGATCCGCAACCATGAAGGCGCATTCGCCGTGAAATTACAGTATGGCCCCGGGCCAATCATCCACTCAATTCCAATTACCGATCCCCATACCCGCAATGACGATCCCGGTCATCGCGTGCTAACTTCCGCCGCTGCGATCGTCACCCCGCTGACGCAAGCTCGATACGGCTCGCCCGGATCCCACAGTCCGTCGTGGCGATCAAGCGCGCAACCGGCCAGCCTATAGTCAGTCCGACAGGACTTTTCGACTCGCATCAAACGCATCACCTAGCCACTGCTTCCCGGAAGCTGCCAGTGGCTTGGGAGTTGAAAACGTAAGAGAGCTTTGCGGGCGCGCTTGCGGAATTTATAGTTGCGAAAAAGAAGACATACGGGGGAGAAGACAGAGGGGAAATCGAGGTGTAAGAAGAGAAGATTCAGCGAGGGGTGCTCAAGGGAAGCCATGTTGATCCTTCGGAACTCAATGTTCAACCAATCAGGTTCGTCGCGCAACAGGAAGATCCTCTTGCTCAACGCGTCTGATTGGTGAGCGAGGGTAATCGAAGGATCAACCGGGTTTCGTGAGCCAAGGTTGAAGAGCGAGAAGGAAAGAGGCGCGAAAAGTAGCGCGAAACGGGTTCAAGATTCAGATGATCAAGAAAGGAAACAGGCGCGCAAAGAGCAAAGACAGGGAAAAACAATTGCGATAGGAGAAGAAGAGGAGGGGAAAGAGAGAGGGAAGAGAGCGCGGGGGAAGAATGACGCGGGAAATAAGGAGGAGGAAGCTCGCATGCGCGGTGCCGACAACAAGAGAAAAAAAAAGGCACCAAAACAGTTACAGCTTGCCTATGTCCTACACCAATTCAAAAATTGAAATCGCCATATCCGCGCGCGAAAGTCGACGTGGGAAAAGAAAGTCCTATGCCTATCCGTATTCTCACAATATTCCTCGAGTTTTCTCCGACGTGACCGAGAACATTCATGCAAAGAAAAAGATACGTCGGGTTTCGCTTATTCCGGAATTCCTAACTGTCAAGCCCGATTCCCAGTGCGTTCGCTAAGGCGCGCGTAAATTTCTCATGCATTTCCCGAATTACAAAAAGCAGAATTCCAAGAATCAATAGAACCTCCGAAAAATGGGGGCCTAAACAAGGCACCTGAAATCAAAAAAAGCGACGGGGGCTTTGTTGGGTCGGTATGATTTAAACGGGGGAATTGAGTCAAGGGGTACGAAAGATAACACGGGGTCGGGAAGTGGTTCGTCACAGGGTTGATCACTGAGGACCATCGCCTTGCCATCTTAGAAAAAGAGTATCTGGCGGGAGATGTTTGGGAAAACACTCTCCTTGGCGGTGGTCAGGGAGTAGGGCAGCATCGATCCCCTTGATTGTGAGAGGTAGCCATGCTTGCAGGGGTCCTCTGTCTAGGCTTACGATTATAGGTAGGGAGGTAGTGAGAGGTGAATTTGAGAGAAAAAAAGGGAGACAGGAAAGCACCCTCCTTGGCGGTGGTCAGGGAGTAGGGCAGCATCGATCCCCTTGATTGTGAGAGGTAGCCATGCTTGCAGGGGTCCTCTGTCTAGGCTTACAAGTATAGGTAGGTAGGTAGTGAGAGGTGAATTTGAGAGAGAAAAAGGAGAGAAAGCACCCTGGACCCACAAGCCACAAGATGAGCTTACATGTAAGCAAGTCTATTGTCACCCGTCAAGATCCATCATCTTGGCGCCTGTCAAGTTGTTAGCTTACGGGCAGGCCCCACCGGTGCCATAGGAAGGCACGAACCGGGGGCCAAGTCCCACTTACACGAATTCTCGATTTCTGACCGTAGATTAGGAAGATCAACGGGCAGAAATGAAGGATCCGGTCAAGTGCGACCTCGCCCCGGCCCTCTTCTAGGTTCAAGTTTATGGTTTCCGAGCACAAACAAACATACCAGCCATGGGGCCTGGCCCTTATCCTGCTCCGGTGTATGAGCCCTGGTCCTTTTGCTGTTCCTTTTCTTTCAGCCCTTTCTTCGGAAGGGAGTAACCTGGGATCTCTACGATTCTCGAACCAGCGACTGCGTGTGTATAATTCAGCCACATAGGCGCGGTTCCCTGGCCGCCTCCTTTTTCTGTTTTGTATTTTTCTCCCCCCCCAAAACACGCTTTCAATCCCTGACCATTTTCCTTTCACCCCGTCCCTTTTCACACTTTTTCCTAGGATGACCACTGCATTGCTTCTGCTTTCCACCGGCTTGGCCGTCCCAGGTGATCGATCAGCGGTCATAGGGTTCCCCGCTGTCGCAGAAGTGCGGAGTTCGATGGGGGGAAAAAAGAGAAGTGGGAAGTTCGTTCCAGTCACGGAGCGCGAGCGCTATCGGTCTTATCTTCCCGTCCTCTGTGTTTCTCGCTCCAAGTCCACGGACAATCTTGAATAAAATGTTGGGTGCGCAAACCCCGCAAGAAAGTTGGCAATGAAGGCCTCGCTCCGCTACTCTCGACGTGTGCAAAACGAGAGTGAATCTTCCGCTAGAACATGGAAGCATGCATGATACAAGCCCATGATTTTTGTCTTTTGTGCATGTCGAGAGTATAATGGAGAGAGGCCCTAACCCAGTCTGGGGGAAGAAAAACAGAAGGGAGAGAGCAACAGAGGCAGGGACAGAGAGAGGAGGATGGCCATTCTGTGCTGCTGGGGGAGTTCGCGTCTGATCTCGAGAATAGGGAGCGACGGGAGGTGTCTAAGGGAGCACTGCCATGAGGACTTTTCTGAGCCTGCGGATCTAATTACCGTGAGAAATATCCAATCCAAGAAAGCCGTGGTATGACGAGTGTTGCCTAAGACTTCCCTGGACGTATCTGACCGCAATTACGGCCTGTCGAGCATGTATCAGACCGCAAGTACGTCCCGAGATGAGCCGAAGAAGTCGAAGTGCCAGCAGATGATTGATAGAAAAAGGGTCCTGCCTGCGAAAAGGAGGGAAAAATAGTGAAGTGAAAGCGAGTGGGTACTGCTGGAAACTGCTTTGCAAGTCCTTGCGGTGTCCAGTGGCCTGCCCTTGCAGGGGGAGCAGGGCGAGACGTCGGCGAAATTCCCCTTCATCTTTCGTTCGCGTTTGAAACTCGTGTGGCGCGCGGTGGTCGGCAGGACGGCGAGGAGAGGGAGGGGGTGGGGGAGTGCAAAGACAGCCACAGAGGGACACAAGCGAGCAGGAGGGAGGATGTATGGGGATCGGATTGGTCCAGTACCTGATGGCCCAAGCATAGCACTCCCAGGTGTCCCAGACCAGCGAGGCGAGGGTTCACCCTCCCCTCTATGACCTGTTCCATCTCCTTCCCTCACCGTTTTGTCAGCATGTTTGGTCGGGAAGGAATGGTGTTTGGTAGGGACTTGCTGGTGGATATGCAGGATGCGCTCGTGGTGCAGGAGAGAGAAAGAGTCGAAGAGGTTGAACAAGGCGGGGCGTCTTAGGACAGGTGACTTGTTCGGCGGGATGGGGGATGATGTTTGGGGAAAGGATGGTGGTGGGGTGAGGAGGAGAACGAGGGCGGCGGTTCAAAGATAGTGGAAGCGGAGCGGAAATGAAGGTGTGTAGGCATGGCGGGGGGTGGCCAAGAAAGATGGAGACGAACCGATTGAGTGAAGGACTGATTGGCTGGCAGGAAGGTCGTTAATCGGAACAGAAGAGTGGGGGCTTGGTTTGGGCGTGGGGTTTCTAGAAATCGGTGGCAAGTATATCGAATCGTCGTTGTCGGCCGCGCACGGTAGAGGAGGGCCGAGTGCAGGGCCAGGATTTCACTTGCCCAAAGCAACTTCGCTGGGGATCTGAGTGTTGTGTTCGCTGGTACCGAACAGGGCACGAGCAGAAAAATGGAGCTGTTACATGATTGGCATCGAATACTGCAGGGAGAGCGGGTCTCCATCTCGTAGTAATGACAATATAACGTTGTTAATACGCTGGCTGAGAGAGAGAGAGAGAGAGAGAGAGAGAGAGAGAGAGAGAGAGAGAGAGAGAGAGAGAGAGAGAGAGAGAATGAGGTAGAGAGAGAGCGAGGCCACACACACGGAGAAGGGGGTTTCGGGTGAGGGAAGAGAAGGTCGGAGTGGGGGGAAAGAGAGGGTGTGCGGGCGTGTTTTGTATGCGTCTGAGTGGGTTTGTTTGTGTGTGTGTGTGGGAGAGTGTTTGTGTTCGTGTGGGTGTTTGTTGTTTTTATGTGTGTTTGTGAGTGTGTGTGTGTGTTTGTGCGTGTGAGTGTGTTCGTGAGTGTGTGTGCGTGTGTGTGTGTGTGTGTGTGTGTGTGTGTGAGAGNGAGAGAGAGAGAGAGAGAGAGAGAGAGAAAGAGAGAGAGAGAGAGAGAGAGAGAGAGAGAGAGAGAGAGAGAGAGATCTGGCTTGGAGGCGAAGAAGAGCGTGGAAAAAGAGGGATAAGGGAGAAGATGGCGAAGGCATATAAGCACTGGCAAGGCCGCAATATTTTCCTCTTCAGTGGGCGGCTGATTTTTGGGCCCGATGTGAAGTCTCTTCTGTTGACACTGGGCCTGATCACCATCCCGTCGGCGCTGTTCCTCAAGTATGTATGCGTGCCACTGAGGACTAAGCTGCCCGAGGGTGGCTTGGCAATCCTGGTTGTGGCTTCGGTATTTGTCCTATGGATCCTGTTATTGCTTTTCATGACCTCAGCGCGAGACCCTGGTATCCTCCCGCGCAACCTGGTTCCCCCTGAACCTGAACCCGATCCCGACAGCGAGAGCGTGACCGCGACGACGACCGCCACCACCACTGGTGCGTTAACGGCCGGCGCCGTTGGAGCTACTACTTCGTCCGTCTCCTCTATGGAGTTCCCTTCGTCCGCCGCCGCTCCCCCGCGCATGCGCTTCCCCCGCACCAAGGAGCACATCATTAATGGCCATCATGTCAAGACCAAGTACTGCGACACTTGCCTTCGCTATCGTCCCCCTCGCTGCTCTCATTGCTCCATCTGCGATAACTGCGTTGAACGGTTCGATCACCACTGCCCTTGGGTCGGCCAGTGTATAGGCAAGCGCAATTACCGCTTCTTCTTCCTCTTTGTCTCCTCCACCACGTTGTTCTGTCTTTATGTGCTTTCTATGTCGATTGTGCGAATCAAATTGGAAGTCAATGACGGCGATTCGCTCAGCCAGGCGATCAAGCGAGAGCCTGTGGACATCATCTTGTCCCTCGTATTGGTAGCGTACACCTTTCTCGCGGTTTGGTTCGTTGGCGGCCTGACAGTCTTCCACCTGTACCTGATTAGCAGCAACCAGACGACTTACCAGAACTTCCGATACCGGCAAGACGGCGGGACCAATCCGTACGACGTGGGACTGAAGAAGAACTTTCAGGAGGTGTTTTGCACAGCAGTGGAGCCGTCGAAGAACAACTTCAGGGCGAATGTGGAGTCCCCAAGGAGGAGGGGAAGGGTAGGGGCAGGAGGAGGGGAAGAGGGAGGGGCGGAACTTGAGCAGATGACGAGCATGAGTCGCCAGCCGCCGGTCGGTCAGCGCAATTCCGTGGCCCCTGCGCCGCCTCTCTTGGGTGCAGCACCAGGAGGACGAGGAGGGGGTGCAGCAGCAGCAGCAGCAGCAGCAGGAGGAGGAGCAGCAGGAGGAGGAGGAGGAGGAGGAGGAGGAGGAGATGTAGGAGGAGCCATCTTGGCTGCTGGCCTCCCATCCGCCGCCGGCGTTGTGTACCCCACCCACCATCAGGCTATGGATAGAAGAAGCAGTCAATCTTCGATCTCGTCCCTCGATAAAGGGGACGACTCATCATCACTTGTCGTCGATGCAGACGACGATGACGGGACCACCGACTATACTCTCGATTGCGACTACAGCAGCACCGGCGGTTGGGATCGCCGTAGCCGATTGTTAAAGATCATAACGGAGAGGGATGTATCGGTCCCGATCTTGACGGGGCGGGAATTCAGCAGAGGCGGCGCGGAGAAGGCGGCGCCGGCAGTCAAGAACTCGTCGGCGAAACTCGGCTCTGGCGGCGGCTTCGCAAGCGCCCTCGATGTGAACCCGCCGTCGATGGACTTGGGAGACCGCCGATATTGGGAGGAAGAGAACGGCGGCGGCGCGATTCATGGAGGAGGTGGAATTAGGAAGCTGGGGTATCATGATGAAGGGACAGCTCCAGGGAGAGGAGGAGGAGGAGGTAGAAACGAGTACCCTTGGGGTAATGTTAGGTCATCGGCACGTGTCCCCGCCGCCTTGACGGCGGATGTCGACGTCGGAGGCCCCGGAGTGGCGGCGGCCGGCGGGAACAAAGTGCCGCCGGCGGCGAAGACGGCGCCGGGTGCGAAGACCCCGGCGGGAACAGAGGGGGAGGGAGGGGGGGTTAAGAGTAGGTCGCCGACGGAGGATGGTGGTGGTGACAATAGGGGTGTTGCGGCTGGCAGAAGGGGAGGAGGAAAGTCTGGTGGAGGAGAGGGGCGGCGGGAGAACGCAGGGGCACTCATGACAGGTGGCACCATCAAGCAGACAAGCCTGGTAAAGGCATCCGCAGGTGGCGGCGGAATGAAGGGGGCAGGAGCGATTAGTGGCGGCGCTGGCGGCGGAGGAGGGGCGTTTGGGGAGCCGCTGGTGGTCCTAGAGATTAACGGATTGGTTTTGCCACAGCCAGTGGAGCGAGGGGAAAGAGGGGAAAGAGGGGGTGGGGCAGTCGGCGCGGGGATAGCAGAGAAAGCGAGAGCAGCAGGGCGAACTGCGAGGAAAGCAAGCGCTGCAGGCCAGTATCCGACTTTGTTGGGATCTGAAGATTACACAAGAGCGAACCGCCTCGTGAATTAAAGCTCTCTTTTCTTATTCATAATTTATTAATTGATTTTGATTAACGAGTTTTGTAGGTGTCATTGGCGTAAAATGGGTGGATGATCGCGACCGTCTTTTCCCATTTACCACATTTCTCTCTCATTTAGCCTCCTGGTAGTCATCACCATCACTATCGTCGGCAATCTCTTCCTCTGTCTCTCTGTCTCTTTGTTTCTTTGTTTCTTTGTCTCTCTGTCTCTTTGTTTCTTTGTCTCTGTGTTTCTCTGTCTTTTTGTTTTCTTCTCTCTTCGTCTCACTTCGCTTCTTCCTCGCTCCCCCCCCTCCCCTTTCTGCACCCCCTCCCCTGCTTCAACCTTCGCTTTCTTGATGGGCCAATTTGAATCGCTCTTGCCTCCTTCGGACGATAGAAAACGCGCGCTGGATGCTTGGCAGTGGATCTAACAGTAGCGATTTTTGTCTTGCTCTGCAGCCAGCCGTTATGTGCCAGCCAGCGTTCTCAGCTCTCACTTCTCTGCTTTCTTTCTGGGCCCTTTTCCTATCTTCCATCTGCAGCCAAGCATCCAAAACATGTGGAGGCTGAGCGTTGCAGAATAATGCCGAGCTTAGCTGATGCGATAGCGGGATGAGCGGAGAAGCCTTTTCTCCCTCACGCCTCGTCGCTCCTTCCCCTTCCCCTCCCCCCCCCCCCCCCCCCCCCCCCCCCCCCCCCCCCCCCCCCCGTGCCTTTAGTACTATTATGACTATTATTATTATTATTATTGTTTTTGCTTATTACTATATTCCTGTTTTTATCACTCAACCCACTACTACTCTGCCCTGTTCGATCTTGGCATTTGCACGCTTGCTAATCGCTTCCTCTACTGCAGTAATTTTCAGCATCTCGATGAGCTGTTGAAAGCCCCAAGTCCCAACAGATCCGTCTGTGTCACAGACTTCCTGTGTTGTCCTGTCTTACGCCACATAGTCGCTAATTCTTTCCACCATACGGGCGGGTCCGATACTTACCGACGAAAGTTCCGTGATTCTTCCTCGAGACTTCGTCTGCCTCTACTTCTGATGATAATGGGTAATGATGATGATGATGGTGATGATGCTGACGCTGCATCTGTTTAACCACATAATCTTAATTAATTGATAACGCTAAAATAAGTGATGCACGGGTGATGATGGACTTGCCACAGAGTCAGATTGCTCAGCCGATAAATGCGGAGGAGAATGGGGGGTTGGGGAGGTGTAGTAGCCAGCCTGCCGAGTGGGTGGTGCACGCACGCCATGCCGGCGGTGCAGTGAGAGGTTGTCCTCACGCACCCACCCTTCTCGACCTTAACCCCCCTCCCATCGCCTCACCTCTCCACTCTCTCTCTCTCTCTCTCTCTCTCTCTCTCTCTCTCTCTCTCTCTCTCTCTCTCTCCTTCTTCCGGCTTTCCTGTCCTTTCCCTGTCCTGTCCTCTTCTTGTTTAGTTCAGTTTTTATTATCACAAAAATGCTTATTGTCGTACGTCGTAACGTTGCCATTTTTCTGTCTCCCCTCGCTATTTCTCTCTCTCTCTCTCTGTCTTTTCTTTTACTCTTTTCTTTATTCCTTTTTCCCTTCTACTGATGATTTGCCGATGATGATGACACGTGAGAGAGAGGGAGAGAGAGAGAGAGAGAGAGAGAATAATAAGAGGCCCGTCGGTCGGTTTGGCTTCTAGCGCTTTTGCTCTAGGAGAGTTCCTTGCCTGTGGGAACCGCATTTTTAGGTATTTAAAATTTTCCTATTCGGACTTCGGTAGAGAGGAAAGCTCAGTGCCACTTTGAATTGCAACGTCACCTTTGTCGAGTTTACTGATGTGGGTTGGTTGGTTTGTTGGTTGGGCGCGCACTCTGCGTCCCGTCTCTACTCTGCTCTGCTCTGCTCTGCTCTACTACTACCTTTCCATAGAAAATCTTCTCTGCTGCGCTCACCTCTCTCCTTTATTCCGAGGTTTTTGCTCTTTTTTTTTTTTTGCCGTTTTCTTTGTCCTCCTTTTCTGCTTTCCTTTTTCTGTTTTCTCGGCTGTTTTTGTGCTGCCGTTTTTTGCTGTTTTTATGCTCTCGTTTTTTTGCTGTTTTTGTGCTGTCGTTTTTTGCTGTTTCTTTCTTTTCTTCGTGGCAGTTTTTTGCCTTTTTTCCTTTCTACTTTCTTCGACTCCTTGTGTTTGTGCGTTTTTTTTTTTTTTTCTCCCCTTTTTTTTTGCTCTTTTTTTTTCTTTTTTGTGCTTCTTTTTGCTCTTTTTCCGTCTTCGCAAGCACTACCATAGCAGCAGGGGTGACGGCGAGATGATTACGGGCGGCTGATTGATTGATCACCGGTCTATCGCGGAAGGGGCTATCTTATCTTATCTGTTTTTTTTGCAACAATTTTCAAAATGAGGGGTACGGTAATAACCTGTAGCTATAATAACCAAGACAAGACATGCGGGATCTCAGTGGAAAAGCGGTCCTCGGTAGATTGATTACTGCCTGTCAATCACTAATCATACGAGGGTCGTCGTTCGTCGTCCATCACGACGCCGTTAATTAGTTGGTACTCTGCTTATAAGCGCGTCGATGCCGTCTCGTCCTTCGCCATGTCAGCGTCACCCCACCGTTGCGTTGTGATCTCCCAACGACGGCGGCGGCTGTTGATGCACATCAGCGTCTCCGTGGTCAGCCGCCACCACTGCGCATGGATGTCGGCTCCGAGGGGAGAAAATATGGCGCGCCGCTTTGTGCGCTGCTTGCCATGGTTGGTCGAACTCAGACAAATAATTAACATTGCACTATTTATTGTCGGGAAGATTTCGACGCTTAGATTTCATATTGCTTCTTTTGTCTCGGGAAGATCGTGTCACTTGCTGTTCACCTGTAGATCCCTTATCGCGGTTATCTGTAGACGGGTTGGTCGCCTCCGTGCTTATCTCTGTCCTTCCTCCTCTTGTCTTCTCTCCTCTCGTCTTTTCTCCTGCCTTCGTCCCTCCCTCCTGTCTTCCCTTCGTTACACCTGGTCGCTACTCGTTGTGGATCCCGACACACGACCTCGCCGTTAGCATGGCTCCAAAACGAGCCCCCTGTCGTAGTTGGCTCCTCTTGTCTTCTCTCCTCCCTCCGTCCCCCCTTCCTCTTGTCTTCTGTCCTCCCTCCGTCCCTCCGTCCTATCTTCCCGTCTTCACACGTGGCTTCTCTCTCTGCATCTTCACCCCTGGCCGCAACTCGTTGTGGATCCCGACACACGACCTCGCCGTTAGCATGGCCACAAAAGGAGTCCCCTTTCGTAATTGGGTCTCGCGGGCCTCGCTCCACTATACATTCTACATGGATGCGGACGCTTTCTTGACCAGGTGGATTCGGACGAGTCCAACATTTTCAATGTAGTGGACTGAGGTCCGTGACCTGTGTGCTGTTTACTCTACTGAGTGCGTCCGTCCTTTCCAGATACAGATAGAGGGTTGTGTAGTGGACTGAGGTCCGTGACCTGTGTGCTGTTTACTCTACTGAGTGCGTCCGTCCTTTCTCCTCTCTCTTTTTTTTTTTTTTTTAACAAAATTCTCCTTCTCTCTTTTGTTCTGTGGGTCACGTGGATTTTGCGGTGGATCGTGTGATTCAGCAATGGCTGACGCAGGTCGTGGCAGATACAGACCAGACCAGCCGTGCGATCACTGCTTCTTCTCCCCCTCCCATTGGGTCTTCTTCCCCCCTCCCATACGGTTTCTCCTCCTCTATGCATTCTTCTCCCCTTCCCCAAGCTGTCCGCGTGTGGGAGTCGACGAGGGGACGGATGACAGAAGCTCACCTTCGGTTCATCAAATACACTCCCGGAATTCCAGTCGGTGAAGTCGAAACATTGTTCTGTAATCGTAAGACCCGTGGCAAGGTCCCACTGGCACAAAGGGTTAGATTTAATGCATGAATCTGGATGTGTTTGTGGACAGATGCAGAACAGGGTGATTGATCTGCTCTTCTGCATCTCGGCTAAGGACGTGTCCAGATTCCGGTTGTTAATTCGATCCAACTTTGCTAGTGGGACCTAGTCCCCGGTGTGCATCCTCTTCCTCCCTCGCTCCTTTCCTCTCTACGTTTTGCTCTCTTGCGCTGTCAATTTATATGGTATAGTATATTACATTTACAGTCCTGTACTCTGAAGATGCATGTACACCCCCGCGGCCCCCCGGTCCTCCTTTCCACCGCC